GACTTACAGAAACAGATAATAAATATGTTTTAAGTTTGTGTTACTGTTGTTCTGAAGCAACAGTTAACTAATGTATTGGAAAAAACCAATTACTGTGGCCTGTAAACTGGAATATTCCTAGAGTTCACACTAGGTTAGGAACTGTTTGAGTTTCTCAGCTGGGGTGAACAAGGCTTCGTTGTGTGTTCAGGGCATTCAGTAGAGAACCCAAAAAGGCTGGGACTAAGGAGTGCAGCACAATTTGCTCCTGAGAAAGGGCTACTTTAAGCCTAAAAGGACCTTAAGACAAATCTTGAAAGGATTAAAGTAATGTGTAAGTAACTTATTTAATTGCCTGTCACAGAACGCTAAGGAATTTAAAGGAATATAATAAAACAAAGCATCTCAAAACAATTTGCAATATCTATCATCTGATTTCTAAAAATCAATGGACATACAAAGAAGCAGGAAAATGCAACCCATTACCAAAAGAAAAACTACTTAAGAGAAACCAACCCATAAATAGTAATTCCGTTAAACTGATGGAGTTTGCAGACAAGGAACTTAAACGGGCTAATATAAATATGCCCAAAGATGTAAGGAATCATTAACATAATGAGGAGAGAAATGGAACATGTAAGAAGTAACCAAATGAAATTTCTAGAAATGAAAAATACAATATCCAAAAAAAGAATATTTCACTAGATGAGATTTTCAGAAGAAAAGATTAATAAACTTAAAGATACAGAAGTAGATTTTATCCAAACTATCATAAGCAATGCAAACCAGAAGACTGTGGAACACTTTTAAGGTGCTGGACTAGAATTATATATCCAATGAAAATGTCTTTTTAAAAAAGGCAAAACAAAAACTTTTTCAGACAAATAGAACCTGAGAGGATATATCACCAGATTTTTGTGATTCTTCATATGCTGAGTACTTCTGGATTGTATCATCTACATTTTCACTATTATGTTATGAGACTCTGAGGCTAATTTAAATCGTATGTTGGATGCTGATATTTTCATGTTAGCAGGCAATCCACCTGTTTAGATTCAGGCTGCGAGTTCCAACTCACATTCTATGGAATGTGTTCACCTCCCATGGCTTCTGCAGTATCATTTGGACCTGTCCCACATGTCCATCCCTCGGGGGTCAGTCTGAGACCCAGGCTCAGGCCTACCCACTAGCTCAGTGCTCAAAGTCTTTGATGTGCAAATTAGGATCAGATCCAGGCATGTGCATGTCCGGGTGAGTCCAGATCTTCAGCAGTTTGATAGGCTCACTTTCCCAAACAGCTTCCTCTCTGTGATCTCCCTTTCCTATTCCTGGGGGCTCCCCTTGTTGGTCTTCTAGCCAGAAACCAGCTACTACTTTCATGATTGCACCGTATCTGGGGCCAGACGGTGGGGGAGAGAGAAAGAAGGAAGAAAAGGTGAAGGATTTGGCTCTGGCCTTGAAACTACGACTTCAGGGAACAGAATTTCCCTCAGGACTTTGCCTCTTGTGGCTTCCTTGTTGCTTCCACTGTTGCTTTTGTCACCACCCTAGGATTGCCTGACAGTTTGGGTGCAAGACAATGAAGAAAAGGAATAAATGGGAGAATTTCCACACGTTCTCTGAGCCATAAGAGCTCCCTTCCTGCTCCTGAGCCAGAACTAGGGGGTGTCTCCAAGAGCTCTCTGACTATTCACTTCTGACTTTTGAGTGCATTAAGGTTAGTCTGGGGGTGGGGGGGTACCAGAGCGGGGAAAATGGTTAATTCGCTGCCAGTACAGTGCTTCAAATTCTGGTGTTCTTCCTCAGTATCTTGCTGCTACTATTTACTTTTCAGATTCTTCAAATACCTGATCTATATATTCTCTCTAGGGGCGCCTGGGTGGCGCAGTCGGTTAAGCGTCCGACTTCAGCCAGGTCACGATCTCGCGGTCCGTGAGTTCGAGCCCCGCGTCAGGCTCTGGGCTGATGGCTCGGAGCCTGGAGCCTGTTTCCGATTCTGTGTCTCCCTCTCTCTCTGTCCCTCCCCAGTTCATGCTCTGTCTCTCTCTGTCCCCCCCCAAAAAAAATGTATATATATTCTCTCTAGATTTTATAGTTACATTCCGGGGGGGCAGAAAGCGTGCAGTGTGCTTACTCTACCTTACCCATTACGGGAGCTCGGTCAATCGACTTTGGACAAAGTTGCCATGGCAATCTATGAAAAAACAGATAGTCTTTTCAACAAGTGATTTTGATACAACAGGTTGTGCGCATTAAGAACACCACCACCAAATCTTGATGCTTACCTCACACAATTCACCAAAAATAACTTGAAATCTATCGTATAGATACATATAAAAACCAAACTATAAAACTTCTGGAAATCTTTGTGACTTTAGTGTAGCCGAAAACTTCTTAAATAGAACACAAAAAGCACAACCCTTAAGAGAAAAAATTATAGACTAGAATTTATAAAAAAAAAATACAATTCTCTTCAAAAGAAACCACCAATAAAATGAAAATCAATCCACAGTCTAGGAGCAAATATTGGCAATTCATATGCCTGACAAAGTGCTTTTCCCCAAAATGTATACCAAACACTTATAACTCTGCATTAACAAGACAAATGAAAACAAGGGCAAAAGATTTGAACAGACACTCACAAGAGATGATATAAGAATGGCCAATAATCTCATAAAAATGCTCAAGATAAATAGTCATTAGGGAAGTGCAAATTAAAATCACATTGAGATATCATTAGATGGGCTAAGAGACTTTACAACATCATTTTTTTGGTGGGGTGTAGAGCAATTGAATTTTCACTTTTGCTGAATGGAGTGTAAAATGACATAACCACTCTGGAGAATCACTCTGTTTGGCAGTTTCCTATAGAGTCATACATACTCACCCGCATAGTTCATTTCACATAGTAATTTCCATAGTAATTCCTTCCCTAGGCATTTACCAAAACAAAATAAAAACATGTTTCCTCACAAATACTTACATAAAAAAATATTTGTAGCAGCTTCATTTATGATAGACAAACCTAAAAACAACTCAAGGCTCATCACTGTGAATGGGTTAACAAAGTTTGGTATAGATATATAATAGAATACTACTCAGCAATAAAAAGAAAAGACATACCGATAAATGCAGTAATGTAGCCTAATGTCAACAGTATGGAGGTTCCTCAAAAAATTAAAATTAGAAATACCATATGATCCAATAATTCCACTATTGTTTACCCAGAGAAAATAAAAACACTAATTGGAAAAGATATACACATCCCTGTATTTATTGCAACGTTGTTAATAATAGCCAAGATACGGAAGCAACCTGTGTCCACCAATAGACAAATGGATAAGGAAGATGTGGTTGGTATGTATGTACATATGTATGTATATATGTATGTATGTATCTATCCACCATCTATCAGCTACATTATAGAATACTACACAGCCATAAAAAGGATGTCTTGTGTTATTTGAGACAACATGGACAGATCTAGAGGGTGTTATGCCAAGTGAAATAAATTAGATAAAGAAAGACAAATACCATATGATTTTACTCATAAACGGAATATATAATAAAACAAAAAACAAATGAACAAATAAAGAATAGAATCAGACTATGAACGCAGAGAATAAACTTATGGTTGCCAAAGGGGAGGGGGTGGGAGGTTGGGAAAATAGGTGAAGAGGCGTGGAAGATACAGGATTACAGTTACAGAATAAATAAGTCACAGGAATGAAATGCACAGCATAAGAAATATAGTCAATAATATTGTAATAGTGATGCCTCCAGACTGTAGCTACTTGTGAACATAATGTATAAACTTCTCAAGTCACTGTTATACACCTGAAATTATGTAACATTGTATGCCAACTATGCTAAAAAAAACAAACTCAACCCCCCCGACAAAATAAAACGAAACAAAATCATGCCAAATAGAAGAAGCCAGCCATAAAAGACTGCATTACATGATTCCTTTATACTAAGTGATTCCAGTTTGTCTTTAAGAATAGTCAATATCATCACATAATAGTTCTCCCCAAATTCAAAGAAATTTCAGTCAAAACCCCAGCAGAATCCACCATAAAATTGACAATCTGACCTTGAAATTTAAACCCAAGAATAGGAAAGTTTATTCCAGGGCTTTTTGCAAGGCTATTGTAATTTAAATAGGAGGGAATAGAATCAAAAGCCAGAAACAAATTTATGTCCAAACGAGAACCCAGAATACGATAGAGGTAACACTAAAAGTAATGAGAAATAATGAATTAGTCAATAAATTGTTCTGGAACAATGGACTCTTTATAGAGAAAAAATACGTTCAGCTAGATCCTACTTTACACATACACAGACACACACATGCATACACAATCCAGGTTAATAATTTAATTAGAAATTAACTATTTAAATGTAAAAACAAAACCCAAAATTTTAAGACTTTTAGAAGAACGTTTAAGAAGACGTTTTTGTGACATTAAAGTCGGGAAAGACATAAACTGTACAAACGGTAAAGAAAAAGAGTGATAAGAATGCCTACATTAAAATTATATTTACTCTACCACAAAAGATAGCATAAGGAAAGATTTAAGGGGAATGTGCCCAGAATTTAGACCATAACAATCTCTGGAAAAAAGTGGAAGGGAACTAAGCCGTATTTCCTGCCAAAGTCTGATCTCCTTTTCGGAACATCTGACTGCACTTTATATGAAATACTGAAAACGATCGTTTCAATCAGAATATTTTTAGTTTTTATGCTCATGTGGTGATTGCGTTGTAATTTATTCCTTCTCTGACTTCCACCTTCTTCCACCTTCCTATTATCTGCTGCTTTCTTTCCTCTTTCCAGCCTGCATGATTTCTTATTCCTACTCTTCCCTGTCTGGCCCGCAGCTACGATGTAGTTTCCTGTTTGGGTAAACTATATGTAGTCTCAACGGAGGAAGTTATTGCACAGAATCTCACATCCAATGGCTTCTCCGCATAGGTAGCAGTCTTATGACTCTGAAAATAACTGTATCTTCATCTCTTACCTGCACGAAGAGTTCCACATCTTCTTGAGTCATACTAGAACGCTTTTCCAGAAACGCAATTTTTGTTTTAACTGCCAGCTGGTGCTGCTGTACTTCCAAGTCCTTCTCCAAGGCTTAAAATATCATCGCCCCAAGCACGAGGTACAGTGTATAGGTGAGCAACAGTGTGCCCTTCTGGAATCTGGTGTTTATCTCCTCTTTATATACTGGAACGAGGGTCAGAGAATTCAAATCACTTTCATGTAAGATGTAATGTCCTCTCAGAAGAAATCCAATATAACAAAGCAAAACAAAATTCTCAGGCACAGAATGTGAACTCCCTTTTATTAACCTACCTTTAAACAACTAGACAAAAGAGACCAATCCTAAATAGTCATGGTAACAGAAAAATAATTCCACTTTGTTCCTGACTAGAAATCTGCTTACTTTAAAAAAAAACAAAAAACAAAAAAAAAGCTGAATTGTGCTATTTGGGGAGATAGGGAAATATGGCGGGGTCGAAGTTCGCCAAACGACTCAGTTATTCAGTCAATTTCCTTAGAGGACATTTTACTATGGAGTATGTCCAGCGAACGTTTTTAAAAGAGTACAACGTTGATGCTTTAACTGATAACATGGATTACGTTAGATCATTCACATTGTACCAGTTACTAGCAGTAACTTACGTATCCTTGCTGTGTTGTTACCGTCCTCTGTAAAATGGAGATAATAATAGCTACTTGATAGGGTTGTTACAATGGTTAAACGAGGTAAGACATGTAAACCCTTAGAATGAAGCCTAGCGAATAGGAAATCTTAGCTAGTGGTTGAAGCCAGGGTGATGTTTGTAGTAGCAGCAACAGTGTGGCAGGAGTATTTAGTCCGTATCCGGATTCCTTTACCCCGAGCTCTGCAAGCACGAAGCAGAAAGGAACGGTATCATTGCCGGCAAGATCAAGGAGACTCTTAGCTGAATAAGGCCAGATTCTGATAGTAAGAAAGGTGAAGCCCCTGTGTGTTTCACGTGCCTCTGGGACATTGCTTTGAGACAGGCATTCGTAGCTTTGAAGAAGCAGTGTTCTCCACTCAAATCTGCCTCTTCCACTTTAGAGAATGGGGCAAACCTCAGTAGCATGGACCCTCATCACTCGGCTGGGCTTTCTTTGCCAATGGGGTTTTAAAAATAAAGCTCCATCGCTTCTCGGCCTTTTGGCTAAGATCAAGTGTAAAAATAAAGCTCCTGGGGCGCCTGGGGGGCTCAGTAGGTTAAGCGACCAGCTTTGGCTCAGGGCATGACCTCGCGGTTTGTGAGTTCGAGGCCTGTGTTGGGCTCTGTGCTGACAGCTCAGAGCCTGGAGCCTGCTTCAGATTCTGTGTCTCCTGCTCTCTCTCTGCCCCTCCCCTGCTCATGCTCTGTCTCTCTCTGTTTCTCAATAATAAATACATGTCAAAAAAAATGTTTTTAATGAAAGCATGTGACTATATATTTTGTATGTGATATCCAGAACTCTTAAGAAAACATGACAATCACAAGCACATTTAAAGCCCATATGCTTAAAACATCTGATATGTACCCTAATAGCAACATTACACAAGTAAACATATCAGAGTCAGTTATTAATATACATTTCCAATGTCAAATAATACATTTAAGCATACTGCATGTAAATAATCCAGAACGACAATAAATCAGTACGATCTCGTCTAAGCAGTCCTTTCACTTTTCCATTTCCACCAGAATAATAATATGCTTTATGATCTTCTATTTCCATGTTTAAACTAACAATAGATACTGTGACTAAAAAAAAAAAAAAGAAAGAAAAAATATCTGAGTTAAATCTACTCTGAGTTTTCCTTAGGTCTGCCTGGCTTCAGTAAAATATTAAGAAGAAGGAGAAATCAAATAATTATGACCTAAAACTACAACAATGTTAATGTCAGTTGTATTGCAATAAAAAAAAAAAAACTTTCAGGAGCCATTACTTAGAAGAGCATTAAAAACGAATGCATCGGGGCGCCTGGGTGGCTCAGTCGGTTGAGCGTCCAACTTCAGCTCAGGTCACGATCTCACGGTCCGTGAGTTCAAGCCCCACGTCGGGCTCTGGGCTGATGGCTCAGAGCCTGGAGCCTGCTTCTGATTCTGTGTCTCCCTCTCTCTCTGTCCCTCCCCCGTTCATGCTCTGTCTCTCTCTGTCTCAAAAATAAATAAAAACGTTAAAAAAAAAATTAAAAAAAAAAAAAGCGAATGCATCTGCTTTAGCCATGTTTTGCACGAGGGCTTTCATTGATCTCTTGGGATAACACACTGGCCTGGAAGATTTTAAACCTTTCATTAGTACCACTTGGAGGTGTATTCTCCGGTCATACTACCAAGCCAAGGCTGATCCCCACCATCTCTGTCACCCAAGACCAGGCCCCCACGCTAGTGAGGCAATTTCAAAGTAATCCTACTGCTAGATCGAAAGTTTTGCGATTCAACTTGTAGGCTGGATTGCTGAAAGGGGACATTTTGAGCCCGTCTAAATGAGCCTTTCACTCCACAGTTCCACCTAGAACCTTGGGGACAGCTAGTTCTAACACAGTCGCCTCCCTATTATTACCACATCCTTCCCGTTGGCCATGCCCGGGAATGTGATTCACAGACATTCTACACCCACACTCCCCTCACCTGCTACATCTTTGCTGTGGCCTCATTTGGCTCACGCTTCCTGTTCTATCAGGCCAGGATAGATCCCTTTCTTGGCAATGATGTGGCTCCCATTGGGAACCTCTTTACATTCACTCCTTCAGACCACTTCAACTCTTGTCCCTTCAGACTCATGCTCAATACTGTCAGGCCTCTGTTTTACCTGTGTTCTTTCTACATTTGTCTGCATGCTGAAATGTTCTTCAGTCTTCCAGACTTGGATACCTGACATCATCTGTGATGACCTCTCTGATCCTAAGTAGAGAGAAGTTTCTCTACTGTTAATTCAATTATAGCATATATTCAAGCTCTGTCCCCTACAAAAGGTGTAGATAGACTTTACCTTATTCAAGTTATACCCCCCTTTGAATACCTAATAGGGTTTTACACACCCAGAAATGCTTCTTGGATGCAACTGAATAATTTCCATACAGCTTGTATTATTGACAAACTTTGTATTTTCCTCTCTAGATTATAATATCCAGAGACAATATAAACTATTGCAAAAATCATAGGCTTTGGAGTTTGGCAGCATTGGGTTTGATTCCTGGCTCAGTCATTATGTAGTTTGTGACCCTGGATAGCTAATGCCTCTGAATCTATTTTCTCATCTGTAATGTAGATTTCATCATGCCCTTGCATTATCATTTTGGATTTGAGTTTCTGTGCAGACTGCCTGACACAAGATAGCGTCTCAATAAATAGCTTTTATGACTATATAACTAGGTGTAATAATTGTCTTTGCAGAAAGAATCTGCATGGCACATTTGATGGTGACTTCCCTCTAGTGTTATTTAAAAAAAAATGTTTGGGGGCGCCTGGGTGGCGCAGTCGGTTAGGCGTCCGACTTCAGCCAGGTCACGATCTCGCGGTCCGGGAGTTCGAGCCCCGCGTCGGGCTCTGGGCTGATGGCTCAGAGCCTGGAGCCTGTTTCCGATTCTGTGTCTCCCTCTCTCTCTGCCCCTCCCCCGTTCATGCTCTGTCTCTCTCTGTCCCCAAAATAAATAAAACGTTGAAAAAAAAAAAAAAGAAAAGAAAAAGAGAAAAGTAAAAAAAAATGTTTGTTGAGAGAATGGAAATGTGGTAATGAACAAACTTGGGGATGGGGTCTTGACCCAAAGTTTCTGGGAATAAGTCTGTGAGAAACACGAATGGGTCATTTCTCCTTTTCTTGAACCCCAAAGAACCAAGTGGGATTCTTCTTCCACTAATTTATTCCTGGCTGTGGAATGAGACAGCTGTTTGAGTGTGTGAACCAAGAATGCGTCTCCCAAACTCTGAGGGAAACATTGGAACTGTTCCAGGTTTTTGTGGACATGAGTGACTTTAAACTGGGACCAACCTTTATGGCTGTCCCAAACTGTGTGGAAGGAGGTCACGGTGTCCCTGTATTCAAATGTCCTAGTGGCAGATCACTATTGAACTGGCAGTGTCACCTGCATTGTAATGCGGGGACAGACTGAAGGGTAAGATGGGTCAGGTTACTACAGAGGGAAGCTCCCAGACACTAAATAACAAGTTGGAACCCTAGGGCAGAAAATTATCAATGTCATGCTTTTTACTTCAAAATAGTAACCTAAAGAAGAGGAGGAAAGGGAGGAGGAGGGGGAGGAAGAAGTACAGAGGAAGAAGGAGGAAGAGGATGAAAAAAGGAAGCTCTGCTGTTCTAGACACTTACCATGATTGAATCTTTCTTTTTTTTTTTTAATTTTTTTTTTCAACGTTTATTTTTTATTTTTGGGACAGAGAGAGACAGAGCATGAACGGGGGAAGAGCAGAGAGAGAGGGAGACAGAGAATCGGAAACAGGCTCCAGGCTCTGAGCCATCAGCCCAGAGCCCGACGCGGGGCTCGAACTCCCGGACCGCGAGATCGTGACCTGGCTGAAGTCGGACGCCTAACCGACTGCGCCACCCAGGCGCCCCTGATTGAATCTTTCTGATCCATTTTAACACCATATAAAGTAATTTTAATTCTGCTGTTTTTATAGATGAAGAAACTGAAGCTTAGACAATTTAAGAAATTTGTCTAAGATCATACAGCCATTGTGACCTCAATAAGGTGAGATTCAAAATAATGTCTAAATAGCCCCAAACTTATGGGTGCCCTTCAATACTATTCATTCATGTATTAAATAAATATCAGTTGAGTACCTATTTATTATCTCTTCTGGCACTGAGGATATAACAGTGGACAAAATAGACAATAATTCCTGTCTTCCTGGAATTGCATCCTAGTGGGAGGGTTCAAATAACCAATCAATCAATCGGTAAGATACACAGAAAGTGAGATGATGAAGAATGCTCTAGAGGAGAGTAGAATCACGAAGGGAGTGGTGGAAGTGAGGGGCCAGGGGGCCGCCACTTTTTTAGAAAATTGCTTGTTTTTTAAAATTCCAGTAAAATGTGCATTGTTATATTAATTTAGGGTATACAATATAGTGATTCAACAATTCTATACATTACCCATCCTCCCACCCACTTCCCTTCTGGTAGCCACCTGTTTGTTCTCTATTATGTAAGAGTCTGGGTTTTTGTTGTTGTTGTTTATTTCTTTTTCTCTTTGATTGTTTCATTTCTTAAATTCCATGTTTGAGTGAAATTACATAGTATTTGTCTTTCTTTGACTTGTTTCACTTAGTATTGTACCCTCTAGATCCATCCATGTTGTTGTAATGGAGATTTCATTCTTTTTAAGGCTGAGTATTATTCCATTGTGTGTGTGTGTGTGTGTGTGTGTGTGTGTGTGTGTGCATATTCATATATATACTCACATCTTCTTTATCCATTCACCTACAGACGAACATGGGCTGCTTCCATAATTTGGCTATTATAAATAGTGCTGTAATACACAATAAACATGGGGGTGCATATATGTTTTTGAATTAGTATTTTCATATTCTTTAGGTAAATACCCAGTAGTGGAATTACTGGATCATATGGTAGTTCTATTTTTAATTTTTTGACTAATCTCCATACCTTCTTCCACAGGGGCTGCACCAGTTTACATTCCCACCACCAGTGCAAGAGGATTCGCTTTTCTCCACATCCTTGCCAATGCTTGTTGTTTCTTGTGTCTTTTGTTTTAACCATTCTGACAGGTGTGAGGTGGTATCTCATTGTGGTTTTGATTTGTATTTCTCTGATGATGAGTGATGTTGAAAATCTTTTCATGTATCTGTGAGCCATCTGGATGTCTTCTTTGGAGAAATGTCTAGGTCTTCTCCCCATTTGTTTTTTGGGTGTTGAGTTATAGAAGTTCTTTATATATTTTGGATACCAATCTTTTAACAGATATGCCATTGGCAAATACCTTCTCCTATTCAGAATGTTGGCTTTTTGTTCTGTTGATTGCTTTCTTTTCTGTGCAGAAGCTTTTTATTTTGATGTAGTCCCAAGAGACATCAGGAGATCTATCTAGAAAGACGTTGCTATGGTGGGGACTGCCATTTTAAATGGCACAACTAGGGAATACTTCACTGACAAGATAAACGTTGGGCAAAGACCTAAAGGATTAAGGAGGAGAGTTGTGAGGATCTAGGAGTAGGCTTTCCAGGCAGTGGCAGTGACAAATGCAAAAGCCCTGAAACTAGAATATTAGTTCATTTTTATGTGTGTGAAGAACATTGGGGAAGCCAGGGTAGCTGGAGCAGATTTACTGGGGGAAGAGTGGGCACTCCACAAAATCAGAGTGCTGTTGCAAACAAGAGAGAATGGATGCTATGTGACTGAAAACAGCATTAGAGCATACAGGATATGTGGAGGAAATTCATAAAAGAAATAAATGCATAGATAATGTCTGTGATTTAACCCCAGGAGTTGAACTCCTTAACTCCAAGGAGTTGAACAGGAGATGGGATGGAGCTTAGACTTACCATTTAATATGCTTCTCTACTTTTTTTTAATACCAAGTCTATATTTCATTTTTAAAGTTTATTTAAACAAAGGAATGAGTACTCATAGAAATGTACCTAGGTATGGGCACAAGAATACTTATTTCTTCACTTATAATAAGTAGGGAACTGCTTTTCATAATAATAATAAGTAGGGAACTGCTTTTAGAAAATGGTCTATGCACAGAAGGCAATATAAAGATAATGGTAAAATAGATCTACATACTGGTGTGGAAAGAGGCCTACAGTCTAGAACTCAAAACACTGGAGCAAGAAATTTATCTTATAGATGTAATTGAGTAAACGTGTCTGTTTATTTATGTGCCAATGTACAAAATTCCTCCAAAAAGTTGTTCCTGCAATAATAGCAAAACACAATGGAAAATATCTGTTCACATTATGGAACAGGATAAAAAAAGCTAGCACTCTAATGCTAACCTATTAAACAGTCATTTAAAATTACTGCATAGATCTGTATTTAGCATGAATGATGTGAAGTATATTTTAAATTGATAAAAAGCAAGTTTTAAAATTGCAGATGTGGAAGAATACACTTTTTCTTTTTAAAGAGAGGGAGAGAGAACAAGCAGGGGAGAGGGGCAGAGGGGGAGAAAGAAAATCTTAAGCAGGCCCCATGCTCAGCACGGAGCCTGACGTGAGGCTCAATCCCACAACCCTGGGATCAGGACCTGGGCTGAAATCAAGAGTTTGAAGTTCAACCTACTGAGTCACCCAGGTGCCCCAGGAGGATTCACTTTTTATAAAATATCCTAGAATATAAGCTCCATGAAAGGAAGGACTTTCATTTTAGAACTGTATTTTCTATACCTGGTTCCTACAGCACGGCTTACACACAACAAATACCTGTTAAAGGTTTAAAGAATAAATAAAAATGTGCACCCACACACAAAAACACAAAACCACAGGACCTGTCACAATATGTTAACAGAATTTATCTTAAACTAATAGCATTTACGTGGTTTTTACCTTTCTTCAGACTTATCTACTTTTCCTAACTTTAAACATTAACATATATCACATAACCAAAATACCACTCTCACTTAATGTTTATTTAGAGGATTCAAAGTCTCAATACATTTCAAGGCTAAGAGTTTAGAAAACACCTAATGTTGAGAATAACTACGATTCATCGTTTTCTGCTCAGGACTCAAACAGGGTTGGTTCACTCAGCAGGACCACTGACTTCTGCTGGGTAGAAATGGTAGACTTCTACCATTTCAAGGCGCTGAGAAGGGGAGACTGAACAAATAAAAGGTAAAACCCAAGCAGAGTTTCTAAGCCAAAATAATTTCATGGTGCTGCTGGATCCTAGAAGGCATGCAAGGTATAGATAGCCCCAATCATTGGGGAACTTGATGAGTATGGTTATTCTTGTTTTACTTTTTGAGGCTGTGCTTGCAAATTAGGCAACTGCCTCTTGTGGACTCTCCAGTTAGGGTTCCCCAGGCGTGGGTGTGATGTGCACACGTACAATCAATTACGCATTTTCTCGTGAAAAATGATGCCTTCGTGAAAAAAGCAAGAACAAAATATGGACTTGCCAGTCTGCCTGAGCAGGAATAAGGCAGAGGCTTTGCATTTCCACTGGGAACAGGAAAGAACAGTTGGAGCTGGACCAAAGTGAGTTGGCTGTTTCTTTAATAGAAGGTTTAAAAAAAAAAAAATCTAGACAGACCTACCTTCATCACGAGGCTACAGGGATACCTCTGTTGTTGTTGTTGTTGTTGTTGTTGTTGTTGTTTTGTTTTGTTTTTGTTTTATTTTGTTTTTTACCTCACAGAATTCATAAGAAATTTAAGAAGACTTTTCCTGGACTTGTATAACTTCTACAGCCTGAAGAGCTGTGAACTAAAATCATATGAACCCCAGGCTTTCTGGAGCTGTTTCTTCCTTTTTTAAAAAATCTTATTTTAGCTATGTGCCTTTAATTGAATTTGTTGTACACTGTGTTTGATCTTTTTGTTGTTCTATTATTTCCTTTTATTCTTTTTTTTAAAAATGTGTATTTATTTTTGAGACAGAGAGAGAACACAAGCAGGAGAGGGGCAGAGAGACAGGGAGACAGAGACTCTGAAGAAGTAGGCTCTGTGCTGTCAGCACAGATGTGGGGCTCAAACTCACGAGCCACGAGATCATGACCTGAGCCAGAGTTGGACGCTTAACCAACTGAGCCACCCAGGTGCCCTTCCAACTCCACTTTTTCGGTCTGTGGTCATGGACAAGTTGCTTAACCTCTTGGAGCCTTAGTTTCCTCATATGTAAAATGGATATAATAGTAACAGCTCTCTCCTAGGCTTGTTGTGAAAAAAAAATCATGCAAAGGCTTGAAATAGGATTTTTGTGTTATTTTCACATTCTCAAATGTAAGTAAAACACTCATCTCTGAAGACATCATTAAACGTAAGTCACTTTTTGCATCTCTGATCATTTCTGGGAATCCTTTCCTAGGATGGGAATTCCTGGTTAATGTCTATTTGTGTTTGATACCTTAGCAGAGTTTTATAAAAATAAAAAAAAAAAGCAGGGAATTCGGTCCGTTCACAGGTCAAAATTAGCTAGTAACATACCAACATGTCTATTCTGGGGACCACTCAGATGACCTACTAGAATCATATTTTCTTTTTCAGTTAAGGATTCTCATTTTGCTTTTGGAAGAGAAAAGTGATGTAAACAAAAATCTAGGCTTTTTCCTCCATACAACTTTTGAAAACTCATAGGAGCACAAGGAGTAGGTAAGAGAGTCCTTTCTGGAAGGAGCCTTATTGCAGCCCCCAGGCATAATTTTATTAAGCAGTTTAACTAACTACTTAATTAGGCAATTAAGTAGTTTCATCAACCAATTGTCAATTTCCTCAGGTACACTTTCATTCATCCTATGTTTTGGTTGAAAATGTTAGTATATCTTTAGCTGCCTGCTTTCCACAACATCGAAAAAAGGCCATAGGCTTTGTCCTGAATTCTTAATTACTAATCCTAGAATTCTCTACCCATCATAGCAGACAAAGGGAAAATAAGGATTAAGGAAGAAAGCATCTTCTGGTTTTTCCCTACTTGGAAAATCCTTTCACAAGACCCACTTCTACATAAATCTTTGAATCTTTAAACTACATATAAACGTTATTTTGGATTCAATTGCATTAAACTCATGAAAAAATATTTCATTGACTCCCAGCAGTTTTAAATGTAGATTCTGTGGTGGGTTTAGATCTTGAGACAACGCTTCATTCAAGGACACTCAAGAACTTCCATCTATGCTGCGTTTGCTGCCCTCCTGTGACTGTCCTGGATCCTAACAACCTGCAAAGCCTTTTTTGTCCCTC